TCTCTGGTACTTTGGACATGTTTGCAGGAGGGACTAGTCTCTGGAGAAGGAAATTATGCTTGATAAAGTAGTAGGTCAGTGAAAAAGAAGATAGACCCTCAAGAGAGATGGACTGACACAGTGAGTGCCACAATGGGCTCACTTCTTCAGCCATAGGCTATGATTGTGAGGATGGTGCAGTGTTTCATTCTGTTGTGTATAGGGTTGCTATGAGTTGAAACTGACTCAACGACACCTAACAACATATACTTAGAAGTGGAATTGCTGGGTCACACGGTAATTCTATGTTTAATATTTTGAGGTACTGCCAAACTATTTTCCAAAGTGGCTGCAACTAAAATGGCTGTGCCATTTTACAATCCCTCCAACACTGTTCGAGAGTTGCAATCTCTCCATGTCCTCCCCAGCACTTCCTTATGTCTGTCTTTTTTTATTATAGCCATTTTGTTGTGTGAAGTAGTATCTCTTTGTAATGTCCCAAGGAGGGGTCGCTATGAGTCGGGGCCGACTCGACGGCACATAACAACAACAACAACAACAAGGACCAAAAATATTCAACTTCTTTTTAATGAATGGCTTATTGACCTTTTGCATATCTTCTTTGAAGAAATACCTATTCAGATTCTTTGCTCGTTTTTAAATTAAGTTGTAAGAGTTTTATATTAAGTTGTAAGAGTTCTTTATGTGTCTTGGATGCAAATCCTTTATGAGATATTTGATTTGAAATATTTTCTCAAATTTTCTAATTTGTTCTTTTATACTTTTTCAGTGGTGTCTTTTGAAGTACTAAAGTTTTATTAAGTCCAATTTGTCAATCTTATCTTCTATCATTTGTGTCCTAGCTAAGAAATTAGGAGCTCTGGTAGCATAGTGCCTAAAGCACTTGACTACTAACCAGAAGGCTGGAGGTTCAAACCCACCAGCCACTCCTCAGAAGGAAGGTTGGGCAATCCTACTTCTGTACTGATACTGCCTCGGAAACCCAAGGAGGGGTGGCTATGAGTCAGGACCGACTTGACGGCATATAACAACAACAGCTAAGAAATTAAAGAGCTCTGGTGACATGCTAAATGCTAAATGCTAAAGCATTTAGCTGCTAACCAAAAGATTGGTAGTTTGAACCCACCAACCACTCCATGGGAGAAAGATGAGGCAATCTGCTTCCATAAAGATTTACAGTCTTGGAAACCCCATGGGGCAGTTCTACTCTGTCCGATAGGGACAGAGGCAGAATTTAATTGAAGGCAGTGGATTTATTTAGATTTTTGGGTTATGTAAGAAATTATTAAGGAGTTCTGGTGGGGCAGTGGTTAAGGCATAAGAAATTATTGCCTAATCAAAGGTCATGAAGATTTAGTATATTTTCTTCTAAGAGTTTTATAATTTTAGCTCATACATTCAAGTCTCTGATCCATTTTGAGTTAATTTTCATGGCTGGGGAGATACGAAACAAATGCAATGAGATCTGAGAACTACTAAATTTTCAAATTGCAATCATGAAAGATGAAGTAGAAAGAAGGCAGAGGGGAGATATAAAAGGGCTGGAACTTGCTCTGTGCCTTAAACAAAGGGCAAGACAAAGAGAGGCATCCATGCTGAAGGGCATTGCAGAAGCTAATGTTGGAATGAGCATAGCCTATGGCTAGAGAAGTGGGCAGATCATACTGACCTGCACCAAAATAAGGGGAGGGGTAGGAAGTAAGCTTTGGTAGAAGAATAGGGCTCAATACTAAAGTTCTGGAAGGGCAGACAATGGAGTCTGACAATAGGGAGTTATTGCAGGCTATCGCCTGATAAGGTGCAAAAAAAGGGATAAAGGAGGGAATCCTATACAAAGGGCGGTAATCAATACAAATTTTATAGGCCAAATAGAACCATTTCTGAAAGTATTTTTCCAAGTTGGATTTTACGTATAAGTCTTTATTAGCTTTATTAAGCTTTCAAGAGCTTAGCAACAAGGGAGCTGCCCCATCTTCTCTTGTTGTTGTTGTTATGTGCCGTCGAGTCGGCCCCGACTCATAGTGACCCCTCCTTGGGTTTCCGAGGCAATATCACTACGGAAGTAGGATTGCCCAACCTTCCTTCCGAGGAGTGGCTGGTGGGTTTGAACCGCCAGCCGTCTGGTTAGCAGGCAAGTGTCTTAGCCACTATGCTACCAGAGCTCCTCCATCTTCTCTTAGGAAAACTAATACCTGGGGCGAAGCTCAATTCCACATCTTGGGAGGATTAAGTACCAAAACTGGCTTGGGCCTCAGCAAGCCTCTTCTCATTCTTAGGGAGACAGGGAAACCTGAGCCACCGAGCTCTTTCCTGGGCCCCTTCTGTCCTGCTGAGAGAGATTTTCAGGCCTTCTGAGGCTGGAGGAACCACTCTGGCCTCCAGTGGGGGCATCTCCGTTGAGCTTCTTAGTAACCCAAGCCTTATTTTGGCCTCAGTCTTACTATCTAAGGAAAGGAACTGAGTGTGCTCTGCTGATCCCTGACTTGGCGGCAGGTTAATGCCATCCAGCTTGCCCTTCCCACCCCAACACCATACCTACTGTGTTTCCCCTGCTCCTCTTTGGGGGCCAGAAAAGCACAGCCATGTGCATTGGCACCTATTCTCAGATTCTGGGAAAGTGCTCTCCAGATATCACCCAAATGCCAGGCCTGCTTAACTCCCCATCCTCGCCCTGAGGGGTTGAGTGTGGACAAGGTCAGCCCATGCTCAGAAGATGATTATTCAAGGACTTGGGCCTGTTTACTCATCTGTAAAACAGTACAAACCCCTGGCCCACCAACTCCTCACAAAGTAGCTAAGAGAATATGCTAAACAAACAAAAAAAGAGATGGTGAGTGCTTTCCTACAGCTGTGCTCAGGGCATCTTCATTGTTCCCACCGTCCATTTTCAAATCTAGTTTTAACTCAAGTTCATTCCTTTAGAGGAACAAGTCATTCAGTTCAACCAGAGATGAAGTCTTCTAAACCATCACAAAGTTCAGGACCTTGAGTCAGAATCTGTGGAAGGATGAAAATGCAGCTTTCTGTATTTCTGCTTGAGACCCAAGGAGACCGTGAGTGGCCCGAACAGTTAAGTGTGCTGCTATTAATCGAAAATATGCTGCTATTAAATCAACAGGTTGGTGGTTCAAACCCACTCAAAAGTACCTGGGGAGAAAGGCCTGCTGACCTTCTTCTGAAAGGTCATTGCCTTGAAAACCCTGTGAGCGCAGGTCTATTCTGTAACACACGGGGTCTCTATGATTTGGAATCGACTTGACAGCAACTGGTTGGGTTTTTGGCTCTTGCCTTAGACCCACTTAATCAGAATCTCAGATCTGAGTTTTAACCAGAGCCCCAAGTGTTGTGACAACTCGCTCAAGAACCACTGTTTGAGTCTTATTGGGCAAACAAGGCCTGGGACCAGACCAGGAAAAGAAACAAGGGAGATAACAACTAAGGCTAGCTAGCGTGGGAGGACCCGCCCCAACAGCCCACAGAAGTGGGAAGGGCCTTGGCCTTCATCTAGCCCAGCCCCCATTTCACTGATAAGGAAATTGAGGCCCAGGGAACACAATGAGTCCAGGTCTCCCAGAGTATTTTTAAGACAGGCCAACAGTTTCCAGGTCCCACTCCACCCTTCCTTCACCTGACCCCTATGTGGTGTGTGTTGGGGCATTCTGCCCCTGGTCTGGCCAAACCTCCTCAGGGTGGCAGGATATGTCCCTCTCTAAGCCCTAGTGCAAATGTGGATGAAATCATCTTTCTCTAATCTTGTCTTGGTCCTCTTAATCTCCCACCTTGTTTTATGTTCAGAGATAAAATGTGCAATTTTCCTATGCATGCGGGAAAAGAGAAATGTGACTTATTTCACAGCTAAAATGAGTCTATTCCAGCCCTAACGTCAGGACATTGAGCTTCGTGGTCCCTCTGCCTTCCAACCTGGGGCCAGCCAGGTGAGCTCTCCCTACAAAGGCTCTCACTCAGCTGGAGGTTTGACTCACCCTTCACCTCCTAGTACATTCTCCTGGCAGCCTCAGCCAACACAGACCCAAGGGAACTGGGCCTCTTGGCATAGATGGCACAGTCCACATACCTCACTTTCCAGGCTGGCAGGCAGTCCCAGAAAGGGGCTGAGAAAAATACAAGTGGATTTTCTTGTCGGATGAAACCCACCTTCCTCCCCTTTAATTTCACGGCACTGATGAAAAAAAGAACTCAATTGTTTAAAAAAAAAAAAAACGTGTTTTTATTAGAAAAGTAAAAAATATTGCATAGGTCTTAATACTTGAACATCAAGTGTATTCATGAACAGCGACTATCTTCATGTAAACAGTTCTAGATGGATGACCCAGATGGCACTCCTGGGGAGGGGTCCAGCCCCCACCCTACTCGGCCCCATCCCCTCCAAGCTCAACTCTCCTCATTACACCTTGAGGGATGGGGCTGAGTGCAGCTCCAGGGGTATTTTTTCTTCAAGTGTCAAAGATCCCAAGTGATCCCAACACCCATCCTTCCTACTCTTACATTCATGCGTCTGTAAGATAGCTGCCTAGAACAGGTCAGTAGTGAAGCTCTCATCAGAAAAACAAAATGATACGAAAACAAAGAACAAACACACTTGGTCCCTTCAGACCATGAGACACACAAACCACTGTCAATGGCCTCCCCCCTCCCGCACAAAACCCCTTGTAGAGGCCAGCACAGCCCAGCTGCTCTCCTGGCTCTATTACACTACTGTTGCCTTAACTGTCAGTAATAAAAATAATAAGATACATGCTACAATCCGGCCAGATCATGGCTGGCCTCTAAGCCTTTGTTTCATGCTACAGTACTGAAGGGGAGAGTGCCTCCAAAGGGGAGCCACCTGCACACACCTCAAGGAGCTTCCTAGGAAACACTATGCTACCCCACCTCGGCCTTCCTCCCCTCAGGTGGCTGTCGTCAGTTTTCTAAGGACAGGCACAGCAGTCCTGCCTGCCCAGTGTCCACCCCCAAAAGTTCTATTGTTTGCAGTGGGTTCAACACTCCTCAATGAGCAGCTGCTCCGAGCTGTACAGCTTCTTCTTAATGACCCGGAAGCCGGTGCTCAGCGTCAGAGACTGGCTGAAGCCAGGGACGAAGGAAGAGTTGGCAGAGCTGAAGAGCCCTTGGATCTTGGGCCAGAGGCGTGAGTCCAGGCGCAGCACGAGGGTCAGCTGGAAGGTGGGCACCAGGCTGGGGTCGAGGGCCAGCTGGGCCACGCTGTGGCAGCACTTGCCCTGCTCTACACAGACGTCCAGCAGCGCCCCCCGCAGGCCGCACGGCTCGCTGTATGCCAAGCGCAGGAGTTCCTTGCCCACCTGGCTCACCAGCTGGCCCGGCATCAACAGGCGCGCGGGCCGCCGCGAGCCGAGCCGCGCCTGGGCCAGGCTCTCCTGCAGCAGCTGCATCAGGTTGGCACACAGGTGCTCGTCCTCTGGGTCGCTGAGCAGTTCGAAGTCGGGCAGGGACACCCCATCCAGATATGCCGAATCTGGAAAGGAGAACACCCAGGGAAGGAGGCGCGTTAGCACAGATCTGAATGGAGTCGTACAGGCGGGGGAGGTGCTGCTTCGATTAAAAAAAAAAAAAAAAAAACAGCGCTCCTTCCCACTCTGTGCCTCAGTTTCCGCCCCACGTTCGCACCCTATGTTCAACCCTCTCTCGCCACCCAGTCCTATCATGATAGGACAGGAAGCCCAGGTGCCTGACCCCTTTTTCTTGCGAGGCGCTCCCTCACCTTCCCAACTGCTCCACACGAGTCCGGCCCCAGACCGCGGCTCACCTTCCTCCGGCCCGAAGCCACTGTTGCTGCTGTCCAGGGACTCGCAGTCCGAGCTCTCCAGGCTCGCGCAGCGGCCGAGCCCCTCCTCTCGGGCTGCCGACCCCCAGGCGGAGCGCGGCGGCCGGTCTGAGGTTGGAGTCCGAGACAAGGACGGGGGCGAAGAAGAGAAGGACGACGACGAGAAGCGGTCCCAGAGGCTAGGCATGGTGGGTACGGACGCCAGGACGTCTGCAGATGAGCTCAGGGTGCCGGAACGCAGAAGACACTGTAAGACAAGAGGGGCACACGGCCCGGCGTCAGTCCCAGCAGAACCGACCCTCGAGCTCTAGGTCCGGCAAGGTTGAGGCCTTCCGCGCAAGGATCGGCATACAAAATGAACACTCACCAACTAGTGGTCAGCAAGAGCTTCTGGGTCAAGTGCCGACTATCTCTTGAATGGGTGCGGGAGGCAGTGCCAACCCCCCCAGCGCTGCCCAGAGTTGGCCCTTTACCCACCTGCTCCTCCCTCTCGGCCTACAGTGATCCCTAGCACTAGGACCGAAAGGCCTATAAGGACTTGCGCGGCCAAGCCACCACACCCCCTACGAGTCGAGGCCCAATTAACACCCGGGAGTGTGGCCCAGCTCGGCCAATGGGCTCCGGGCGCACGTTCGCAACGTTCTCTCCTGCCCGGTGACAGCGGTGTGGCCCCGCCCCCGCTGAGCCCTGCACACTCCCGGCCAGGCCGAGGCCACGCCCCCCTTCTGGAAGTGCTCGGCCTGGGCTGCAGCTGCCTAGGTCCCGGAGGGCGCTCGCGGCAGGGGAGGATCAAGCGAAGACTTGTTTATTATAGGGTCGCGTTGCTGACGGAAAGGGTAGCTCGTGACCCTGCGGGGTGGAGAGGCAGAGAAGCACCAGGGTTAGGTGGGCAGGGAAAACGGTTGCCCCTTCCCCTCAGCGTATGGGGAGCCTGAGAGCTGCGAGCACATCTGGGCGAATGGGTGGATGTCCGTGGGATTGTGGCGCGGGGAGCGAACGTTAACTTGGCTGGTCATCGCGCATGCACGCCTAGCTGTTCAGTCTTAGTGCAAAGGGTCGAGATACGAGAGTGGGGAGACCAAAGACGGGGCAGCTCAGAGCTCGAGAGCTCGAGGGAGGAGCCGGTGCACTCCCTACCCCGTGGCCCCACCTGTTCGCCCGCATGTTATTCTACAGCCCCAGGGGATGGGTTAATTCAGGGGCCCTTGGTTTTGACTTCTTTAGGAGCCAAGCCTCCAAACCATGCACGCTTCCATTCTCTAGCTGCTTCAGAGGAGTGGGGTTGGGGAGAGTGGTTACCGAGGCGTAACGGGGTGAGGGTGAGGGCTGAGGGGGACGCTTGCCTCAGGGCAGAAGAGGCTGCCAGATCACACTGCCCTGTGAATCACCCCCTCCCCCCGTCCCTGCTCCACCAGGCTAGCGGGGCGGGGGCGCCAACAGATTGCCCCTGGGCGTTTGTTACCCTCTCTACGCCTCTGGTGGTTTGAGGGGTGTTGACCATGCCCAGGTTCATAGCGCCTGATCGTGGGGCTGAGAATGGGGCCCCATATCAAACCGACACATTGACCCTGGGGCTGGCCGCAGCGACAGACGGCCGCGCAGCGGTCCTTTCCCTTCCCGTTGCAGCCTGGAGCCCGGGCATCCGTCGGGTCTTAGTGCCCGCTGGGCTCAGCGCTTTGTGTAAAAGACTCGGAGAGTTGCGTCAGGACCGAGGACCTAGATCTCCAGAAAAGCCTGGGAGTGCAATGGCCACCCCCAGTTTCATCATTCAGACAGGGCCACATGAAATCTGACCTGGCGGCGGTGTGCCAGTCAGATAGTGGTTGCTGAGGGTGGGAGGAGGAGGTTCGGACCACTCAACCTTTATTTCTTTAAAAGTTTATTGTAGTACACGGGACCCTGATGGAAGAGGGAACCAAACTTACATCAGACTTCCCGCCCCGGGGTGGTCAGGGCCTAACCAGTTCTGACCGGCGGGCCTCGCCTACTCCGGGCAGGCTTGCTTTTGACAGACAATAGCCAGAGAGGTCTGGCCAATGCCACCCTCATCCTCCAACCCTTTAAAAAAAGAAAGAAAGAAAAGGCTGACACAAGGGTCATCCAGGCAAACCAAGGCTTAGAACCGGAAAGGACCAGAATCCAAACCCTGCACCCCATCCTCGTTTTACAGACGAGAGAACCACCTCCGGGGACAAATTTATAGATTAATAAAATTAGGGGACTCTTTTGAAGACAGCTGTAGAATAGACCGGTCTCTTAGGCCTCTCAGACTTTCCAAGACCTGACCACCAGCCCTCTGTTCCCATCCTCCAAGCTTCAATCCCTTGCAGGGAGCCTTAACTACACCAGGTCAAGGTGAAATCACCCCTCACTGAAGTGGGAAGAAAAGAGTTTGGGGTATCCTGCAGGAGATGTGAACCTGTGGCCTGGGAGAGAACATCAGGGAATTAATCCATCAAGGAGGGTTCTCTCTGACCAGGCTGAGCGGCTGGGGACAACTGTGCCGGCAGTGAGATAGACTTAGGTTTTTTTTTGTTGTTGTTGTTTTGTTTTTTCATCTTCCTTTCTCTCCTTTTTTTTTTAATAGAAAAAAGGAAAATATTTCAGAAGCAGCTCTGGTGGTGTAGTGGCTAAGGCATTTGACTGTTAACTGGAAAACTGGCGGTTCAAACCTAGGAGTCACTCTGCAGAAGGAAGATGGGGCATAGAAAGTAGGAAGTAGATCCATGGAGATTTACAGCCACAGAAATCCAATGGGGTCACTATGAGTCAGAATCAACTTGATGTCAGTGAGTTCAATTTAAAACTTAATAAAATTTAAGAAAAATATCAGACATTGACCTAAGAAAAATAGAGATGTATTTTATAAGTGGATATTTACAAGCAAAAGAATCCAAAGACAGTTTAGAAAGGTCAGTTTATTAGGAATCATTCATTCTACAAACGTCATCATTATGTGCCCAGTGCTGTGCTAAGCACCTTTGATTCACTATGTCATTCTATTAATAAGTCAGCTTCTTCCAAATGGGAAGGGCTGTGTTAATGGACACTGGGTAAATCTGTTTCTTTTCAAAAGAAATCCATTAATACTGTTGTCTCCATGTGTTTTCTAACAGATTTTTAAAGTGAAGAAAAAGGAACCAAAGTCCTAGCCCTGTAGGAGGGAGTTGGTGTTAACTCTGCCGGATTGGTGGAGGATCAGCCCTGTGTGGCTCCCCCTCTGACACCCTTATCCCCATGAAGGAGTAGAGAGAGGCTCCATGCTACTGGAGTCCACCTGGAGAACCTTCGAGCCTAGAAGTGGGGTTTCTAGATCGTTGACCTCTCTGGGTAGCCAGGGTGGGGGCGCTCATGAAGGTCAGTTTCATCTTGTGAGATGGAGGGTAGAATCCCTTCCACCTGGCTAGAGCTCCCATCAAGGGGTCAAGGGCCTGAAAGATTTTGTTACCACCTCATACACCCCTCTCAGCACAGAAACAGCCTTGATGGGGCTCAACCAACAGGGTTGTGGTAGGAATGGGAGCACACCGTGGCCCTGCTTGGGAATGTGTAGCTCCATATTCTGGCTTCTGAGCCAGGCCTCTTGAGAGTGCTGGAGAACCTATAAACCTTGAATTTGCTGCCTTCTCCTCCCTCTCCTGCGCCCCTCAGGCCAACGCTGAACATGCCCCATCAGCGTGTCAAACTTGCCTGGACATGCCCCCACCAGCAACCATGGAGACCCAGCTCTGGCATCCTTTCCTCCAGGAGGCCTTCCTCAGCAGCAACACGCCCCCCCCCCCAAATCCTCCATCCCTCAGTGCCCCTCCTCAGGGCATCCTTACACCCTGTGTATATCTCTGTTATTAATCCTTGTTTTCACTTTAGTTTCAACACTGGACTGTGCGCAACTTACCATAGCCAGCACTGTGCCAGGTACCTAGTAGAGGGACTCGGTGAATGTTCCTTGAATGGATAAATGTATGGTTGAAGCAAGAAGGTAAATTGCACAGATCTCCATTTGGATTCTGGATTCCCAGGATCTGAGGGAGCTTTCAAATGGGCTATCAGAGGTCCTTGATGCTATCTTTCTTTCTGTTGCCTTCTTACAAGTTACAAGCTTAGCCAAAGCCTTCCCTTCCTCCTCAACTCTGGGGGGTGGGGGAATGGGGGGGGTGGGGGTGGGGGGGTGAGGGAATGGGGTGAGTGTGTGGGGGGATGGGGAAGATGGAGCTACCCTGTGGCTTTAATTTGAAACCTGAATAAAGAAATGCTTAAGTTTATCATGTATAAACTATTCTGTAGTGATATGGCCTTGAAAACCCAAGGAGGGGTCACTATGAGCGGGTCCCACTTGATGGCACATAACAACAACAAACTCATTTAGTTTATTGCAGGGCAGTCGTGGCAAGTCACATGGGTGAGATCAGAGAACATTCACAAAAAAAACAGAATTAACAATTACAATGTTAGTTCAGTGGTTAGGGCCCCAATTTTTAGACTTCTGGCTTCTGCCTTTTACGAGTGCTCTCAGGAGGAAGACTTGACCACATTTCAGATTTGGTGGAGGTTCCCTGTAAGGGAGCTGGGTTCTGAGGGCAGCACATAGAGTCTCAGTCTTAGTCTCTAATAGGGTCTCCTATTCTAGAAAGGGATCTCTTGCCTCAGTTTTCTCTCAAAAAATGCCCAAAGTGCAGTGCTTATATACGATTTTCTAACCTTGGCCTCCCACATAAGGGCTAGATGATGTCATGCTTAGTGTGTCACATCTTTTCTTCAAGATGAGACATTTGTCCAGTGTTGCATCTTTTAAGAGATTAAAGGGCTTGTTTAGGACTGACCTAATGTCTCAAGGTCATTTTACAGAGATACAAATTTTTGTTACATTTTCTTTTATCACATCATGTAGGTGTCAAGCCAATTTAGGGAGGTTGTTTATCTCACATACTTCACATACCTTTATTTTTAAATTCAGAAAGTTTCTACTTCTGAGTTCCATCCTAGGTGATTTGTGCATCTGTGACTTACAGAAGCAAACAAAACACTGCCTTATACAAATTACAGAGGCCTATATAACACTGCCTTGTACATATGTACTTTGAGAACATTACAGAATTATAGAACATACATAACAGGGGCTTCTAAGGCAACCCAGCTATCCCCTCTGAGATCTATCTGGTCAGTCACTCCAAGAAGCTGGGGAGAGGT